GACAGAGGAGGCTCTTAAAGAAGAAGTTACAGGTCTGTGAGAGCCAGAAATCTTGTTTGTTTGCAGGTGACCAAATAATTATTTTACCGAGGAATTTAGCGATTAATTCATTAAAAATCCTACAATGTGATTTCCTGGATTCTTTCCCCCCATTCTGTCTCTCATAGTTGAGGTGTACCTAGGATGAAAATGACAGGCCTCTCATCTTTTTAAGTGGGAGAACTTGCAAGATTGGTGACTGACTAAATACTTTTTTGCCCCACTGTATGTGTAGGGTAACATGGATGGATAGTGTGTGTGTTACATACCTGCTTACACACATGCGGCTGCTTTTCTATGTGATTTGTAGCTGCTGGGTCAGTTGAAGGGCAACATGGAAGAAGAGAATCGCCACCTGCTCTGCCAGATTGAGACCCTGATGCTGCAGAACCGGACCCTGCTGGAGCAGACCATGGAGAGCAAGGATCTGTTTCACGTTGAAGAGCGACAGTATATGTAAGCAAATAAGGCCAACAACATGATAAGATAACGTAGCAGCAAATAGGGTCTGTATCACTAACGCATTACGCCTTGGTGTTCGGTACTTGAAGACACTTAAAATACAATCAGCATCAGGCTGACAATTATAATTGATGATCTTATTAATGTCTTTCTCTTCTGTCTCTGTTCAGTGACAAGCTTCATGATTTGAGGAGGCAGAAGGAGAAGCTAGAGGAAAAGATAATGGACCAGTACAAGTTTTATGAGCCGTCGCCTCCTCGCAGGTAAGAGACTGTGATTTCTTTTTTTCATGACTATGGAGAAATGGTTGTGACATGTCAGATTTCAGTAATCGCATCACTGTATACCTTTTTAATAACTATGTAGTACTTCACTTAATACTAAGAGTTTATTTTCAGCTCAACACACATTCGTAGTACTAATACACATTTGTGTTGATGAGATCAGGGAGCTCCATAGTCTTCTGCATCTCTATATGGCAGAACATGTCTATTTGTTCATTGTCTTTCAAACCTGCATTGTTCTGTTTTTGTTCCCAGCCAACTTCCTGAAGAAAATCAATCTTAAACTGCTAATTGCTCCATTAAAGTGGACCTATCATGCTATATTTGAATAATATATTGTAGGGCCATACCTATATAAAACATGTCTGCAAAGTTTTTTTTTCAAAATACCAAACAGATCATGAATTTTAGCTATGCCTCATTTCGCTCTATTTGCTCTTTTTTAGCCCTGTTTTTGCAAGAGCTGATTCTGTGAGAAGTCTTCTTCACTGCTTTTGTGGCAGACTACAGCGCCACCTACAGGCCTGGCATATGTACTACATCGTCTCCAGCTCTTTCGAACGGCAATGGCCGTGGCTATCTCCTCCTGATAGGTGGAGGGTTGCCCATATAGGCGGAGCTCCTTGTTTCTGACTGACGTCAGAAACAAGGAGCTCCGCCTATATGGGCAACCCTCCACCTATCAGGAGGAGATAGCCACGGCCATTGCCGTTCGAAAGAGCTGGAGACGATGTAGTANTTTTGGCTTTCTTGTCCGCAGCAGCAGAAAGCATTTTAGAATGTTTGAATGAATCAAAGTGGGTCGTCACCGTCGACTTTCTCTAAGACGTATGCTCCGACACACAGTTGCACGGGGTGCAGAATAGTTTCCCCCCACTTTCGTGAAAGACATCGGGGTACTGCTTTGCCCGGTCTTTAGAAGAAATGTTCGTCGTGTGAGTTCCACACGTTCACTCTACGGTGTTGTTTACCTTCTGTGATGCGCGAGCTGATGACGTCACGTCATCATCATCACCACTACTTCACGTCAAGACGAGTTAACTTTTTTTTTTCTCAACTTTGTGTGGAAAAATGCGGGGATTATGCGGCCTTTTGATAAATATGCAGCCTTTTAAAAATCTGCGCCATTTTGCTGATTATGCGGTAAATTCTGCGATCGCATCTTTCTGGAGGGTCTAATATTTGGAGTACAAAAACAATCTTGATATCATTAGAAATCTCCTCTTTCCAACAGTGTATGCAACTCAAAATGTGTTTTCGGGTCAATGCGACTGATTTCGATGGAGCAGGTCACATATGTTATTGCTAAAGACCATGTTTGTGTCTTTAGCCAGTACAAAAAAAATAATAATTAAACTATTTGGCGTCCCACTTGCAATGCCTTCGTGGACCACTAGTGGGCCGCGGCCCACAGGTTGGGAACCACTGGTCTATTTGTCTGTTTTTAAGACTGCAGATGAACTAGCAGCTGTGTGGGTGTACTGCATATATGTATGCACAGGTAGTTGATCCTGTTCAGCTTACTGGTTCTTTGTGTTAGCCCTGTATCTATTTCTGTGTACGTTCATAGAGAGCAATAAGTAGTCATATGCTCCGAATGTGTAAACATACTGTACATGACAAATTGACAATAAAGCTGATCCTGACTCCGCCGATACATTCATTATTTTGACTCAATCCCACATGCACTGTCCTTCAACCACAAATAGAAAATATTAAGATCTGAATTTAATCTGCAACAGAAAATAGTCCTCTACAAATTATCTACCTCTTTCTGAATAAGAAACATTAGAAAAATCGACATGTACATGTCAATAAGTTAGCTGTCAACAATCTATATTTTTGTGAGTTTTATTTTTTTGACATTTACAGTAGGAACCAATGAGCTCAAGTACTGAGGGATAAACATTGTACATTAAGATTGTTCATATTATTTGTTTATAATAAGAAAAACAAAAGTTACGTATGTAACTACGGTTCTATGATATCTTCTGTCTCGTGCATGTCGAATATTTATGTCAAGAAAGTCACGTGTGACCTCGTGTGACCTCGTATGACCCCGGACAAGAGTGGACATCAGGCGCCCAAGCTCTCTAGATATCAGAGCAAATGCTTGTAATGAGGCGTCACTGAGGCTGGTAGAGGTAGCGCTAGGGATGGGTATCGTTAAGGTTTTAACGGTACTACTACTTTTATCGATACCGCTTATCGGTCCGGTCCTTTAACGGTACTTTTATCGGTTCTTTTGGAGAGAAAAATAAGGTAAACTAACTAAACAAATTGTGAACAAAACTAACAAAATAAATAACTCAGTTACCTCTAATCATTAACCCATGTATGTATAATGTAGTTAACTCCGTGTGTTGCTGCTAGCATACATACCTGACGTGGAAACGTTACTCGGGGATGGGGCTACAGAGCTACTAGAAAGACAGTCGAACCCGGTGCATTCCTCCGTCTGAATGTGGTGCACTCTTGCTAAATGTTTAGACAAATTGCTTGTGTTACCGCCCTTACATGCTAAACTCTTATTGCACTTTAGACGGGTAAAGTTTAACCGCACCTCCGAGCGCGTTCTCTCTGCAGTCTCCTCCGTGTATGTGTGTTGCTGCATGTAGCAGCTGCGTGTGTGTAAACTGCCCCGCCCCCTCGCAAGCAGGCGGGGGAGAGAGATCGAAAATACTAAAAATAATCATAGAAGCATTTTTGCAGTCTTTTTGCATGTTGGAAACGGAGTTGGCGACACTAAAACTGCAATATAATGTTTGTGTAGCAATAATACATATGACATATATTTTTTACATGTCTTCAGTACCGATAAAAAGACCGCTAACGTCGGAGCTTAACGGTACCACGGTCTTTAATAATTCATCCCCGGGGCCCGTTTAATACCGGGGCTTGGTACCCATCCCTAGGCACCAATATCGTTTCTTGGTTTGTGTCAAGGTTGCCTCAATCAATATAGAAATTAGATATCAATCCAAAAGTAACCTTTAGTGTTGGTTTATTTCTCTGACATTATTTATTTGTCGTGGACAATACTGCGCTTAACCAACTTTAGGTACAAATAAACAATGCAGAGTTAGTTTAAAACATGCCTGGTACAAATATGACCAATGCATGGGATAACAAAACTACTGTCTAGATGACGTAATGAAACATCTATGGACAATTAGGTAAACTCCTTGGAAGTCAGTTATGATAAAACACCATGTGTGCTAGTTTTAGATGGTATCAAACAACATGACGTAAAAAGAAGCCAATAACACGCTAGCTCAACAAGCAGTTCTTTCTTTACTTATTTGTGGTCCGTAAATATTGTTTAACTCAATTATAGAGCATTGCATAATGGTCCGGTCACCA